GAGATTTTTGTGTCCTGGTACAGTTGTGGCCCAGAATTTATTGGCATGAAGACAGCTATGTATTACAGCATTATGAAGAGACACCTACCCCTGTCAGATTCAAGCGAGAGCCTGTGAGCATAACCTTAGCTATACTATTGGGAGCTGGGGGAATAGCAGCGGGAATTGGGACAGGAGCAACTGCTTTAGTTCGCTCGGACCAGTTCATGCTCTTACATCAAGCCATGAACCAAGACCTGATAGCCTTAGAGGAGTCCATAAGGACCTTAAAAAACTCCCTGACTTCTCTCTCTGAGGTAGTGCTGCAGGAGGGGACTAGACTTATTGTTTCTAAAACAAGGAGGTCTAACAAGTGGGACTTCATTAAACTAAAGCGCTTCTGTACAGCAAAAGCAACGACTAAGGAAACAAAGAGGAGACCCACTGAGTGGGAGAAAAACTTCACCATCAGCACATCTGACAGGAGTTTAATGTCCAGAATATAAAAAGTACTAAAAAAAACAAAAAAAAAAACAAAAAAAAAAACAAAGAAACAAGAAAAAAAATGGCCCAATTAAAATATCTGCTAAGGACCTGAACATAGAGTTCTCAAGCAAAGAAATAAAAATGACTAAGAAACACCATAAAGTGTTCAAATCCTCAATCATTAGGGAAATGCAAATTAAAACCACTTTAACATTTCATCTTTCCCCAGTAAGACTTGTTAAAATCAAGAAACTAATGACACCAAATGTTGGGGAGGCTGTAGAGAAAGGGGAATTCTTTTGAAGGACCCGACTGACAGCAGGAAGGCCATTTTAGAAAAAGAACTGTAATCAGCCATTCGATAAGCCAAGATTCTAACCCAGGTCTTGTGAAACTAGCAGTGGAAGATAGGACGTTTGCAGTCGGACCACCTGCCACCACCCTGAGGCCCCTACCGGGAAGTTAGTGATAACAGCCCCTACTGGGAAGTTAACGATAACAATCGGTTTCACCCATAGCCCCCTCTGAATTTGGCAATACTGTTTCCTCATACCTTGTACCCATTGAAATGCACTAATAATAATCTTGTAACCATGCATCTGCTTCTGTACCTTGCTTCTGCTCTATAAAAAGCCCCCCCCAAACTAAGCCCGGCACGCAAGTCCTGACCCGAGCGGGACTCTGCGTCCGCAGGCGCCTGTGTATGAATAAATTCCTCTTGCTTTTGCATCCCGAAACTTGGTTTTGTCCCTGTGTGTTGAGCGCGATTCTTCACCAGGACACAGATAAAACCCCATCTAAACAGGGTTTATTAGCAAAGGAACACATGGGACAGAGTCCCTTCTGGACAGGTAGGGAAAATGTCTGCCCAGGTCTTGAGCTGGGGTCTTTTTAAAAGGGAGGCTTTTGTCTCCTGCAGAAGGCTGGAAGTTGTTTTTTTTTTTTTTTTTTAAGTTGGGTGGGGGGAGAAGTGGGAGAGCAGGACTGTTAAAACCTGTCCTCTTTAGAGATCAAAGGGGAAGCCTGCTGTGTTGGCCAAACAGTGGAGAAAAGTCTGCTTCTCTTGACTTCAAAGACCAAGGTGCTTATCAGCTAGGTTCCCTTTTCTCAGGAGCATGAGAAGTCCTTGGGATCCTGTTGGTGAGGGAGCAGGGCTATCTGAACCTTAACAATTAGTGTGTGCTCTGTGCATTTGTCCACTGCATCACTCCAGTTTCTGGTTTGGGAAATCAGCTTTTCGTAGTTACTATAAAAAACCAATGTCTTTGATATGTTGGTCCATTTCTTTTATAAAGCAAATACTAAAAGAGAAATAATTTTATACTTCTTGGAATACATATATATTAATGAATACTAGGGGTAGGTCAGGGGATGGAAGAAATCCAGTCATGGGATAGGAGACAGTGAAGGACCCAGGTCACACTGGCTCCATTTCTTAGCAGCCTCTGTCCTGTCAGTCTTAAGTCTCTGTTCCTAGAAACTGTAAGTTTCCTTTGCCCCATACTGTGGGCTAAGATTAGGCAAGTCCAGACATGCCTTGCTTATCTGAGTCTAACAGAAACCACACAAAATTCCTGACCATAAAAGGGCATCCAGAGGCCGATAGGAGCACCCTACCGTAAAAGGAAAAATTGAGACATTCCAGGTGGCTGACTATGACTATAACCAATGAAATCCCACACGCACAAGGAATTCAGAATTATCCATTCAATTCAAAGGTCGCCCAGTTTGCGTGGGCTTTTTCAAGAGTACCCAATAACACCCCCCACCCCTACCCCCCCCCCCCCCCCCCCCCCCGCCATTGTTGGTCGGGGCCAGACTCCATTCTTTGGCTCCTGGAGTCTGGGCCCGACTGGTCATTCAAGAATTGGAATGTTTTTCAATAAAATCTTCTAAATTTCTAGTTTTGGTGGGTGGTCTCCAATCATTCCCAAACCTCAGACCCAACAGCAGAGGACAGTGGTGAGGGGAATACATAGACACATTTGTATGAAAGTGTTATAATGAAACTCATTACTTTATGATAGGTAAAAATTTGGTGGAGAATGAGCGAATGGAGGAGGAGGAGTCAGCGAGGCACAGTTAAAACTCTCAGCGGGATAGAGCTTTGTTTCTCATGGGACACGTTCCCCTCAGGGAAGGGAAAATGTCAGCCCACAGGTTGTGAGCTGGGGCTTATATACGGGGGTTTCAGGGTGCAGAATGGGGGGGAGTTTTTTTGGGAAAAATCAAGCAGGCAGAAGCAGAAAAAGCAGGGCTTGTAAACCTGCGTCCGTTCAGTCTGCCAGCCAGGTTCTGGGTCAGGAAGTGTTTACTTTTTTGTCCTCTTAAGATAAGGGAAAAGCTGCTGTGCTAAACAGCTCCTAAAATCTCTGGTCAACAGGCAGAATCTGCTTGTCTTTGGTGATCAGAGGAATGGCAGGCTGCTTCTTAGAAGAGTCTGCTTCCCTTGACTTCAAAGGCCAAGGTGCTTATCAGCTCAGTTCCCTTTTTCAGGCTTCAAAAATCCAAAGTCCATAGGTCCCTGTTGGGGAGGGAGGTAAGCTATTGCTGTTTGAAACCCTAATATTTTGTATATTATTAACTGTACATTTAATTTTTTGATTCATATTTATTTTATATGTATGAGAGTTTTGCCTTCATGTATGTAAGTGCACCTGTTTTGTGATGTGCCCTTGGACGCCAGAAGAGGATGTCAGATCCCCTGAAACTGGAGTTATGGAAAGTTGTTAGCTGCCATATGGGTGCTGAATTTGGGTCATCCGTAAGAAAGAACAGTCAGTGCTTTTAACCATTAAGCCATCTCTCCAGCCACAATAACTATATTTAATTTAGAAGTCTTACAGTGCTGCCATACATTTATTTTAAAAAGTTTAATAGTTCTGTCTCATATTTTGTAATATACAGTTTTGTAATATATAGATAGTTGAGAGACTTGAGTGACTCCACCTTGGATAAAACTCCATTTTGTATGGGACTGACCCAGCCCTGAACCCTGTTCCAGGAAAAAACACAAAAAAAGTATACTTGGAACAGATAGCGAACAACTCCCCCGCTAATGGTCAATTAACCAGGGACAGCAAAGTACTAAAAGTCCAGATGTCTCTTCAGATTTCCTGAAGGCAGCAGTTTATGGTTTGGCACTGGGCTGCAACCAATCAGTTTAAAGGGCAACATTCCTTTAGTTAGGCTGACCAATCAGATGCTTGCCAGCCTGGAAACCCCCTACTTGCTGAACTTGCTGAAATAAACCTATAAAAACCTCTGTCTCCCAAAGCAAGGGGTCTCACAGCTAAGATCTGCTGGGTTGGTGACAGAGTGGGCCCAAGCTTAAGCTTGCAACAATAAAAAAAAAAAAAAAAAAAAAAAAAAACCCTTGTGTGTTTGCATTGGTCAGCTCCTTGGTGGTCTTTGGGGGTCTGGCAAACTGGGCACAACATGGTCACATATAATTCATAAACTGATATAGCTGTGTATACAAAGTTAGGGAAAAATGTTCAGATGGGCACAGTCTTGGCCCACACCTTTAATCCCAGCACTGGGAGGCAGAGGCAGGGGATCTCTGTGAGATCCTGGTCTACAAAGTGAGTTCCAGGCCAGCTGGGGCTACAGGGAGACCCTGTCTCCAAATCAACAAAACCAAACTAAAATGTTCAGTAGGGACTATATTCTCCCACAGGAAGCCCTGAGTTAAAATACATGCAGGTAAGAACTGTTACTCTGTTCTGGGTCCGAACACTTCCCTGAATTGACCACTTGGACACTGAGTCTTAGTAAAAACACAAGCACTTTATTGAAGCCAACCAGCTGGGGACACAGTCTCAGGAGCTGTGCTGTGACCCAAGGCTATGAAAGTACAAGGCTTTTAAGCATAAAAACCACAAAAACCACAAAGCTGGGGACTTCCATAGTAACAAAAAGCAGAAGTACCAGGAAAAGGTTTGAACAATAATACAAGAGGCTTTCCAGAAACCCGAAACCTTTGTAGCCATTGGCTATCTGCATTTAGGCAGAACGCTCTTCCTCTTCTGCCTTGGACCATAGAATGTTCCAGGAAATGTTTTTGTTCTGTCTGACAAGCAGGGTGTACCTGTCCAGGGGAGTTCCAGAGTCAGACAGGGATTCTGAGGGGCACTCAGTCTAGGGGATTTCCAAAGATAGGCAGGAGGTCTTGGGGGGAGTAGCCTCCTCCAACTCTAGGTTCATGGATTGGTGCTATTTACTGTCACTCAGGCCATAACTAGCAGGCACTTAAGTATAAGGAAGGGGCGGGGTTTTCGAAATCCACCTTCTGCAACTCCGACTCATCTAGGGTTTCTCTGGCTTTGCAGGGGCTTCCCTTCCCTTGCTGGTTTCGGGGGAACTGAGGGAAGAGGCAGGAAGGAACCTCTCAAAACAGACATGGTGAGTGCAGCGTGAGCAGCGGGGAGGGAAGCCGGAACCGGCCGTGGCTGTTGGGGGAACTGAGGGAAGAGGCAGGAAGGAACCTCTCAAAACGGACATGGTGAGTGCAACGTGCGCAACGGGGAGGGATAGCCGGAACCGGCGTGGCTCGTTGGGCCTAGGTCCCGCTGGGGACGCCGCCTTTGGCCGCCTGTGGGTCCGGGAACCGCGGGGGAGGCATGCGCCGACCGAAATGGCTGTGGAGACTCCTGGCCTGGAACTCGCTAGACCAAGCTGGCCTTGATCTCACAGATTGCCCAGCCTCTGCCTCCCGAGTGCGTGCTCCACCCGCCTGCCTTTTAGTCCAGGAGTAAAGATCCCAATCCGCAGGATATCATTAACCTACCGCCGTCCCTGGCTCACCGCCTCTGAGGCTGAGCGGCGAGATGTCCGGCGCCTCGCCGGAACGGAAAGTTTCTTCCCTTGACGCCTAGAAGGGGTGCCGGGTTTTCAGTGAACACCGCTCCCCCCAGACTCACTTCCGGGCAGCAGTTTCCAGGACCCACGGGTCCACCTGGGTGCTGGAATAGGTACTGGAGACCCGCCAGCACTTCTGGGTTTGTCTGTCCGCCTGTTTCTGAGTCTACGTGACTATCTCTGTCCGAATCTACACATGTTAGCGCCGTGTCTCTGCTGCCCGTGGCCCAGGTATGTCTGACCACCTCTTAATATTTTTGCAACAAAGGAATTACTGAAACTGAACACATACTTCAGAGTCAAAAATTGAAAGATTGTGGAATAATACTGATCACAGAACCTTCAGTTATATTGAAATATAAGTCAAATATATCGGCAGTCATAAAATTAATATGTGGCTTTATTATCATTTTTCCCTAATCTTAAAAAGAACCTGATTTATAATCTTAGATGTCCAAAAGAGTAGTATGCTGACTCTTTTGTAACTTCGTGGAAATTTAATATATAAATGTAGACTAGTCTGTTCATAGCTTTTGTTTTCTAAGGTCTCACTGTAGCCCCACCAGACCTGGAACTCACATGTAGACCAGGCTGGCCTTGATCTCACAGAGATCCACTAGCCTTTGCTTTCTGAGTGCTGGGATTAAAGGTGGGTGACACGACATCTGGCTTCACTTTATATATATCTTTTTTTAATTTTTAAATTTATTTTTATTTTATGTGTATGTGTTTTTCCCTGCATGTATGTAAGTGCACATGTGTGCAATGCATGAGGAGGCCAGAAGAGAGTGTCAGATTGCCTGGTGCTTTATGTATTTTATGTATTTACTTTATTATATTTTATTTACTTCTCTTTTTTGTCTTTTTTGAGACAGTGTCTCCCTGTAGCCATAGCTGGTCTGGAACTCACTATGTAGACCAGGCTGGCCTCAATCTCATAGAGATCAACCTGCCTCTGCCTCTCTTTTTTACAGTGCTTCTGCCTCTGCCAATCATTTTTACAATGCTTTAAAAACTGTCCCTTTTACTTTTAAATTTCTTTAAAATTTTTATTTTAGTTTTTTTCCAGGCTTGGTGCTCACATTTTTAATCCCAGAACCTGGAAGGCAGAGGCAGGCAGATCTTTTCAAGTTCGAGCCCAGCCTGGTCTACACAGGGGGTTCCAGGCCAGTTGGGGCTACAGGGAAATCCTGTGTCGAAAAGACCAAAAAAAATTTTTTTTAACTTACATTTACATGTGTGTGTATGTGTGTACATGTGTGCACGTGTACACTGTGATGCACATGTGGAGGTTAGAGTACAATGTGAGGAATGAGTCAGTTCTTCTACCTTGTAGGTTCCTGGCATTGAACTCAGGTCCTCAGGCTTGGCAGCAAGTCTTCTTAACCACTGATCCCTCTTCCCTGACCCCTTTTATTTTAGTTTTTAGCATGGAAACTCAGGCTTTCTACATCATTTTTGTACCTACTAGGTTTTGATTGATCTTACTCTCAACCCTTCTCTCCGCTTTAGCCATGCCCTCCCTCCCCAGCTAAACCCTTCCATCTCCAGAGCACTCTCCCTTGAGGCCCCCCTCATAGGTTCCTTTCTAGTTTTGTTTTGTTTTACATTATTTTTTTGAGACAAAGTGATACTCTGTAGCACAGACTGGCCTTGAACTGGCTGTCCTCCTGCCTTTGACTCAAATAGTATTAGAGGACTGAGCTATCAGAGCCTGCTTGGTGTCCTTTCAGGAAGTGACCAGCCAGGGCAGGGACTGGCACATGGCAGGCACTGGGAAACTGCCTCCTGTTTAAATCCTCCACTTCTGCATCCTGTAGGAGTCTCCCAGGGGTGGGTCTGTTTTGTGGATGGCAGAGCTCAGAACAGCTAGTCTCTTTCCCTCCCTCCCTCCCTTCCTTCCTGTTCGTTTTTGGTTTTGGTCTTTTTGGGACAGGGTCTCCCAGTAGCCCCCGTTGGCCTGGAACTCACAGACATCTGCCTGTCTCTGCCTCCCAAGTGTTGGGATTAAAGGTGTGCATCACCACACCCAGTGAAATTAGTCTTTCTTTACAGAATTCCTGCACCCAGCTAGACCTTGGAGCACAAGGTAGTGCCTGAGGAACCCCAAGGTGTATAGAGTGAGATAGACTTGGAGACAGGTACAGAGTCATGAGAAGCAAAGGCATGGGTGGTAAGACCCACAGACCAGTGGATCGCAGTTAGAGCCCAAGGCCAGGCTGTATGGGTGGGTTGACTCCCTTTACCCCCTCTCCCCTGGGAGAGTGTGGTAGGAGGGAAACAGGCCTGGCTGGTTGGAGACACAATTCAGAAGCATAGATACTAGGAGGTACAGGTCTGACAGAGGCACCTCCTGCTGTCCCCACCCTGTGTGAAGCCCGGAAGTGCCATGAGTTTGCAGATTTCCTTGGGGGCAAAGCCACTGTGATGACTGGGCCCTGGTCACTGAGTCATAGGGAAGAGGGAAGGCCACTGAACTAGCAGGGTGAGGGAATGGAGATTGCACAGCAAAGCTGGTTTCCCCATCAGTGCCCTATTAATGTGAAAAGGGGTCGGTGACCTGATTCAAGTCTCACCTTCGTGAGCCAGGCATAGTGGTGTAGATCCATAATCCTGACTCCTGGGGAGGGTGAGGTAGGAGGAAACATTGAGTGTATTGTGGGCTAAACATTGAGTTCAGTGACATCTGGGCAACTTTTAAAGACCCTGTCTTCAAAAAGCAAGCAGTACTGGAGAACTGGCTCAGTGGTTAAGAGCAGTGACTGCTCTTGCGGAGGACCTGGGTTCAGTTCCCAGCACCCACATGGTGGTATCTGTAATTCCAGTTCCAGGGGATCTGACACCCTCTTCTGGCCTCTGAGCATATTGCATGGCATGGGTGTACTTACATACATGTAAGCAAATGCATTCATAAAATAAAAATAATAGCCAGGTGTGGTGGCACACACCTTTAATCCCAGCACTCGGGAGGCAGAGGCAGGCAGATTTCTGTGAGTTCAAAGCCAGCCTGGTCTACATAGTGAGTTCCAGGACAGCTGGGGCTACAGGGAGACCCTGTCTCAAAAAGACCAAAAAAATAAAAATAAAAAAAAATACTGCCCCCCCCCCCCCACACACACACAAAGACACAGTTCAGTGTAGGACATATGCAGGGCTTTGAGTTCTAGTTCCAAAGACCTCCCTGTGGGACCTCAGAAAAGGCAGTCATTTTCATTAAAGGCATGGTGGCCCACACCTTTAATCCCAGCACTTAGGAGGAAGAGGCAGGTGGATCTCTGAGTTCCAGGCCAGCCTGGTCTACATACTGAGTTCTAGGCCAGCTGGGGCTACTGGGAGACCCTGTCTCAAAAAAGACCGCCCCCCCCCCAAAAAAAGCCAATCATCTCTCATGAGACTCAGTTTGTTCTGGAGAATAGGACTATGCTATACGTTGCCTGTAAGGGAGAGGGTAATACTGAAAGGCAAGAGACAAGTAATTGCTTTGAAGTGGCTGGGGGCTGCTTTAGTACTCACCAGCCCTCCCCTCTGGGACCCTCAATTACAGGAAACAGGTGAGATGCAGAGCTCACTCCACTATACAGAAAAGATAGATGAGACCAGGGTGTTAGAGGGGGGATGAGGGGGGTGGCTCTTCCCAACTGCCTTGCTGGCATAGTTGGGCCAGTGTCTTGGATCAAACAGAACTTGTGAACTTGTGAAGGGAGTGTCTGCTAAAATCCTCTGGCCATGCAGGAGGCTCTCCAGACTTTAATTGAAGGTTGCATGGGAGAGTTGGGGATGGGGGTGGGGACAGATTTGATTTGCTAATGTTCTACCAAGTAGCATTGTGGCTAGAAGTTGTGCTGGATAGCTTTAGTGTCAACTTGACACACCTGCATTGAGGGAATTGCCTCCATTGGACTGGCCTGTAGCCATGTCTGTGGGGGAATTTTTTTGATTGTTGAGTGATGTGGGTGGTGCCACCTCTGGGCAGGTAGGCCTGTGTTGTATAAGAAAGCAGGTTGAGCACGGGCCAGGGGAGAAAGCCAGTAAGCAGTATTCCTCATGGTCTGTGTTCCAGCTCTTGCCTCCAGGTTCCTGCCCTGAGTTCTTACCTTGGGCTCCTTGATGAACTGTGACTCAGGAGATGTAAGCTGAATAAACCTTTTCCTCCCCAAGTTGGTATTGGTCAGAGTGTTTTATTATAGCATTGGAAAGACAAATTAGAACAGAAATCTAAAAAAGAGAACTTAAATCCTTATTGGATGGCCCCTTTGGGTTGACAGACCAGTTAGAGCAGTTCAGGGCCCCAGCTTCATTCCATGGCTGAACTGATGTCTATCTTGAGCATTCTCTCTTCGGATCAGGAGGGCCACACAGGCATTTGGGAATAAGAACATCCCACAGGCCGTGGGATCCTATCACTAGAGGATAAATTCCCCAACCACGACCCCCAGATGGGACAATAATGAAGCCCATCTGGAACATATGCAGGACCTGAGAGATCTCATTGTGAGAAGGGCGAAAAGAATCAGTTCCTTGATATCAATATATCAATAAGGCTTTTACTGTCTGACAAAGAAGGGGTAAAGGTCTGCTCCAAAAAATTTGAGACAGGGTCTCCCTGGTGTTCCAGTTGTCCTGGAACTCTCTGTGGAGACCAGGCTGGCCTCAACTTACAGAGATCCACCTGCCTCTGCCTCCTGAGTGCCGGGATTAAAGGTGAGTGCCACCATGACTAGGACACCAAATGAGAAAATATTCTGGGTGAAGCCTGAAGGATCCCCTTGGCCAAGAAATACTTAAACTGCATTTTGTGACCAGCAGTTGGCCAGATATTTCTAAAAGGTTAAAAAGGTAGAAAATTGGGACTGGAGAGATGGCTCAGTGGTTAAAAGCACTGACTGTTCTTGTAGAAGACCCAGGTTCAAATCCTAGCACCCACACATGGCAGCTAACAATTGCCCGTACCTCCAGGTCCAAGGGATCTGATGCTCTCTTCTGTCCTCTGCAGGCATTGCATGACATGGGTGCCCTTACCTACATGCAGGTAATACATACACATAGAAAAAGAAAAATAATAAATTTTTTTTTTTTTTGGTCTTTTTGAGACAGAGTCTCCCTGTAGCCCCAGCTGTCCTGGAACTTACTATGTAGACCAGGCTGGCCTTGAACTCCCAGAGATCCACCTGCCTCTGCCTCCCGAGTGCTGGGATTAAAGGCGTGCACCACCATACCTGGCCAATAAAATATTTAAAAAAAAAAGAAAATTGGAACTGACAGAGCTGCTTGGTGTGGTTTGATTTGATAATGCCTTAGACTACGTGGTTCCCAGGCAGTTGCTTTTCTAAGTGGGTAAAAGCACCACATGAGGTTACTAAGGTTTTAAATCAGGATTAACTATTTTTAAAAAATTTCATTTATTTTATGTGTATGAATGTATTGCCTCCATGTAGGCAGGTGCACCCATATTGTGTGGTGTGCATGGAGCTTAGAAGAGGGAGTCGATCCCCTGGAACTGAAATTACAGACTGTTGTTAGCTACCATGTAGATTTTGGGAATTGAACCCGGGTCCTCTGCAAGAGCAGCCGGTGATCTTAACCGCTGAGCCAGCTCTCCAGCCCCTAAAAGAGTTAACTTTTTTTTTTTTTTGACAACTTGATTTTTAAGGAACTTAATTCTTACCAATATGGAGGGTCACAGATCTGCTGAATCTCAGCCCACCTCATGCTCAGGTTTCACAGAATCGTGTTACTTCTTACCCTGTTTCTCCATGTGCTCCCAGAGCAACAGCACCACCTATGAATGTTGGGCACACCTCCCCATCCCTTGCCCTTCCTTCATGGGTTCTTTTCTCAGTAACAAATTGTACCTAGGAACGGAGGGGGATTAAAATAAGATTCAGAAGACATCTTGGCATTCACAATTAAAACTGGTATTAGGACATATGGACTTCCTTCCATGGGTTGGGACCATGAACTTTCTTCCTGTTTTTTTTCTTTGCTTCTTTGGCCATACATGCCTAGGCCACATACTGTTTCTTCCTGTATCCATGGTAACCTAACTCAGATGCTCTGTTAATGAAAAGGGGGTGGCTATCCATATTTAATGTGAGATTTGTGGGTCCCAAAGGGATTCATGCCCTGGTGGGGGAATGTATTTGATTTTTTATTTAATTTAATATGTATGAGTATTTTGCCTACATGTATACAAAGTGCACTTGTGTCATGCATTGCCCACAGAAGTCAGAAGAGGGCATCAGATCCCTTGGAACTGTATTTAAGGATGGCTATTAGCCACCATATGGGTGCTAGGAATCAAATCTGGGACCTCTGTAAAAACAGCCAGTGCTCTTAGTGATGAGCCATCACTCCAGCCCAAGGGATGGTTTCATTTTATCGTGGAGCCGAGCTCACCAAAAGCAGAAATAACCATGTGGATTTGTTGCCATCTTAACTGGTGACCTCATGAAGATGAAGGCAAACATGTGACCTGGCTACCAACTTGGCTAATGACATCATCAATATTATGTGACTTGATTACCATCTTGGTCAGTAACATCTTCAAGATGACCATGTGACTTTGCCACCGTCTTTGTTAATGCAACCACATGGCATAAACCAAATTGGTGACACTTATAAAACTTCCAGGTACCACTGAGCCTGCAGGGGATCTCTGCATCATGGGAAATTCCTGCATCACAAGCATTCTGTCATATGTCCCCATCTGTGCTTTTGGTGGAAATGAATGTACTGTTCTACATGGAAGTGAAGTCTGTTTTTTTAA